AAATTCTTTATTTTTAAATCTTTGTTTTATTTGGTGTGTGTGTGTGTGTGTGTGTGTGTGTGTGTGTACGGTGCATGTGTGTGTCACAGAACATGTATGGAGGTCAGAGGACAACTTTCAGGAAGTTGGCTCCCTCATTCTATCATGCGGCCCCAGAAATTGAACTCTGGGGTACCCACGGACCCATCTCCATGGCCCAGTCCTTAAAGGCTTTTGAGCATCCTGTCCCCTTACTCCGTAGGGTCTAGAAGGCTTGCTGTTGGATTTACACCCACCCTATCCTTATTGCTTTCCCAGCTGCGACTTTGAGAGTCTTCTAGAACCTCTCCAGGCCTCTTTGCTCTCTGTGGAACTGTGACAGCCATCCTTCCTCCCCCTAAGGGTTCTCCTAGGGACCCTAACCCATGAGAGGGCCGGGGGAGGGGCCCCTCCTTGAACAACGGCTCTGTGTATTGTTGACTGAAGCTGGCCATTACATAATAAGGAAATAAACAGAACAGAACCACCTCAGGTTCCCATCCTCCTCCTCTGGCTTTTGTTATTTGCTTTTTCCGTAGAAAGAAGGTTGCTGGCACGGTTCCCATGGCAACCGGGTGCTGTGCAAACCGCTCACCTACTCTTTATTTTCCCTGCTTTTCTGTCGTCTTCCTGATCCTAAAATGGATGTCCCTCAGACAGAAACGCCATGCCAGCCTCAAACGCAAAATATCTGCATGATGTGACATTTTACAGTAGCCATCATCAGTAAATTTTTTAAAAAGTGAATTTTATGAATAGATAATTATCTATCCCCAAAAGACACAGGGTTATTTGGCTTGGGCTCCAAAAAAAATTCATGTATTTATTTCAGTGTGTGTGCGTGTGTGTGTGTGTGTGTGTGCGCGCGTGTCCGTGCAAATACCTATGTGCCTTGGCACATGTGTAGCGTTGAAAAGGCAACTCTATCAATTCTCTCCTTCCACAATGCTGGACAAGGATTAAGCCCAGGTCTTCAGTCATGGTAGCAAGCACCTTTACCCACTGAGCCATCTTGTGATACCCTAGTTTGAGTCCTGTTTTGCATCAGGCTTTCACTCTGTAGCCTAGGCTGTTCTTGGACTTTCAACAATCCTCCTGCCTCAGCCCACCGTTGCTGGGATTATATAAAGTGGCCCACAACTCCTGACTGTGGTCCCCGTTGTTACATGCAAGTGACGTTACACAAAGCAGCGAGAGGCCCATTGCTCATTCTCTTGTTCATAACGAGTCTCTTTGAAAGAGACAAGGGTTCAACGGCCACGCGGCTTCCAGGAATTCATTCCGAGGAACTCGCTAGGGGTGGGTGCATATGACCATGCAGGCACCGGAGTGATTTGCACCCACAAGACAAGATGAGAATCCTAAGTTGGAGCTTTGTCACTTCTGCCATAGGCAGCTGTGGGTAAAGCTCGTGTGAAAATGAACCCCGTATAACAAATAAATTCACCCATCTCTGCATATGATTCAGGGCAGGGGAGATGACTCAGCAGGTAAAAGAACCTGCTGACAAGCCCAAGGACCCAGGTTCAATTCCTGGGACCCACAGTGAAAGAAGAGAACTTTTTTTTTTTTTTTGGCAAGCTTTCCTTTGACCCCCCCACATACATGTGGCAGGCATTCGTGCACACTAACAGACACACAGTGTCAGTAAGAAAAAAAAAATTAATTAAAGCAAATGAGCCTTTGAGATGGCTCAGCAGATTAAGGCATTTGTCACCCAGCCTGAGTTCCATGCTCAGGACCCACAGAGTAGAAGGAGAGAAACGGAAATCCCTGCTGCAAGCTGTCCTTTGATCCCGAACCCCACACATGGATCCCCAAACACATACAAAATAAAGTAAATCAATGAATGACTAAACCAATAAATGTAATGAATTTTTAATTAAAAATACCAAGTGCCTGGCGTTGGTGGCTCACGCCTTTAATCCCAGCACTCCGGAGGCACAGACAGGCAGATCTCTGTGAGTTCCAGGCCAGCCTAGAGAAACCCTGTCTCGGAAAAAAAAAAAAAAAAAAAAAAAAAAAAAAGTATAAAGTGTACAAGTCATTGGTCAGTCTGTCTATACACTGGCTTGAAATCTGTGGGAGAGGGGACAGCATTAAGTCTTACTACATAGCCCTGGCTGGCCTAGAATCCTCCTGTCTCAGCATCCCCAGAGCTAGGATTGCAGGTATGCACAACTACACCCACCCTAAGCCTTTGCAATTTTGAGTTATTTTGTTTTGTTTGAGGCACGGTGTTGCTATGTAGCCCAGGCTCTCCTTGAACTCAGGATCCTCCTGACTTTCCTCCCAAGTGCTGGGAATACTGGTGTGGTACCACCATGCCTGGGGTTTTGGTCTGCTTTTTGTTTTTCTTAAGTAAATTTGATGGAGAACATGGCACTCAGAAACTCCCAGAAGGTAGGATGTGGTACTGAAGAAGCAGAGGCCCCTTTGTGTGCAAAAGCTCCAGAGCATCCAATGAGTATGGACAGAACCCTGATCCCCCTAAGCAAAAGATCAAGTGGGGACCATCCGGTGACATTCAGAGCCCCACAAATGTCCCTTCCAGCCCTCCCCTGGGCACTTCCGCTAGAGTCATAAGCCTCTCCAGACTTGAGAAGGACCTGTGACTCGCTTAGCTGCAGCCCCTGAGGTTCCCATGGAAACAGCTGGAAGAAACGAGCAAATGGAATTTTTCTCTCCTGATTCTTGTGTTTGAGGAAGGAAAAAAAAAAAAAAAACCTACGTATGAGGCTGCAGGCTTGGCATGATAGCACCTGGAACCCTGGCAACCCAGGACTTTGCTGCTGGAGAAGGAGTGCCAGTCCAGCCTGAGCTATATGAGGCTGGCACTGAAAAAAGGAGGG